CTGGGTGGGTTTTGGGCGCTTTTGACAGCTGGAGACCTCATGTGGATTCCACAAGCTACTATCTTGGTGGAACACAATTTGGCGGATGAATCCGTTGAAGAGGAAGGGTTGCAGTTACGAATTGCAGTTACATATACAAGTCTGCCAACTTTGGGACTTCTCATTGATCATTGGTTTCATGTGTATATATATATACTAATATATATATATATATTTGTAACATGTGGGTCATTTCTTGCTTCCCGACTCCCTCCCTGCAGGGCGCTGAACTCGATGAACAGGGAATTACTCTGAGTTTGTCCTGCCTGGCTTGGTCAGTACCAGAGCACTTTACAGACCACAATTGCAAAGTAATGGCTGAGCATTTGGAGTATTTGCTTCGCAACTGCTGCGTTGACCGTTCCGACTTGGAGGACGAATTCAAGGCAGGTGTACGGCGTGTACAGTGTGTGTACTGTGCACGTGAGATGCATGTGGAGATGTCTTTTGGTTATTAGTGATGTAGCTGTTTGATGCTATGCAAGGCCTCTAGGACCTAAAATCTAGCCTGGAGTGTGTGGTCATTCACATTGCTGCCCAGCCCTGCAGCTGGCGAATCAGCTCTACTCCCTGCTCCCGTTCATTGCAATCAAGCAAGAGCCATCAGAGGACTCTGCCGCTGCCGCTGGCAAAGGTCTCCTGGTTCCAGTGCCAGAAGACAAGGAGGGCGACGAGAACAGTGACAGTGCCAATGCCGCCAATGCCAAGCTGGCTCTCCAGGACAAGGCCAGGCTTTGTAGTTCTTCAAAGCTGAAACAAAACTCAACAGTTTAGGGGCTTGTAGAGGGCCTGGGCTTGGTTTGGGGTAGAATTTTGGAGTAGAGTTTTTTGGAGCTTCCAACAGGCAGTTGGCGCTGGTTCAACCACAGCAGCAGCCGCTTCCCCTTCGAATGATGCAGAAGAGGTGACATTAAGCGGACTTGTTCCAGTAAATGCTGACAAAGATGTGGAGCAGGAACGGGAGCGTGATGCTGCACTGAACTCGTCAACAACGCTTGAACTTGACCAGGCTCAGACCAGGGTTGGGAAATTGTTAGTTATGTATACAATATATAGCTATAATATATATATATTGTATATTACTGTCACTGTTACTATATATAGTACAGTATATAGACTCGACTGACAATAAACTACTCAACGTTTTTCCTTGTTTGACAAACGCTTTGTGTTAAGGTAAGGGTGCAGTGTGCTTTGTTCTGTAGAACTTTTGGAGCTTTTGGAGTTTTGGGACAATTGACAATTGCTTCAACAGGCCGTCCGGAAAGCAGAATTATTGGTTGCAGCTGATGTTTGCGCTGGCCAGCAGGCTGCTACTGGGCTGTTTGAGTCCATCAACATCTTTCCGAACCAGCAATATGAGGATCAGTTCCATGCTGTGGACTCGAAGTCAGGAAAGAAGACCATCAGCTTTTCCGAAATCAGGAAGCGAACAGCGAAGTTCTTGGAAAAGCACGTCAGGGATGCAAAGAGGGCAAAAGTTGCGACTGCAACTGCTTCTGCAGCTCCAGTTGAGGGTGAAGCTGCAGCTACCGGAGGCAAAGCAAGCTCAAGTTCAAGTTCATCATCCTCATCGGACACCGATTTGGGCATTGCTGTGTCACCTCAAGATGCAGTGGCAGCGAAACCCAAGGCTGCGCCAGCGCCGAAGGGGAGAGCCAGGGGAAAGGCCAAGGCCAAGGCCTCTCCCAAACCGAAGGCGAAGGGCAAGGCTAAGGCTAAGCCCGCTGCAACCAAAAAGCCGGCTGCCAATGCCAAGGCAGCAGGGAAGGGGAAGAATGCATCCCCTCCGAAGTCAATGGGGTCGCTGGCAAGTAGGAAGAGACGACGGTCCAGCACGGACGAGCCTGGGCCTGGGCATCCTGACTTCGACATCTCCAAGCTTGACGCAGCAAAGATTGCTCGGGAAGCCACAGAGTCGTTGCAGAGATCGATGAACCGCCGCAGAACAGCCGCTGCGGCGAAGGGGAAGGCAAAGGCGACAGCGCAGCCGAAGAAGAAGAAGAAGTGAGTGAGCATCTTAGACACGAATCGGCCGAGTTGAGGATGAGAGAGGTTTTGGAGTTTTGGGGGTTGATGACAACAATGACAATTATTACAATGTTCGAAAGAGTAAACCAACTTTGTAGATCTTTGTTTGTAGTAGCTTTAGCTTCTAGATGCACTGACTGCACAACCAGGTGTTGAGAGTTTTGGCATTCAGTTGTTTGTTTTTGACTTTTGACTTTCAACTTTCAACAACATTGCATTATTGCATCTGAGGTGATGTTAGCGTTTGAAATAGGTGTTCAATGTTGAATGTTGCACTCTGATTCAGCTCATGCCGCTCAGACCATCACAGGGCTGACTAGTCGCTGCCGTTGCTTTGGCATTTTGCTAGCAAGCTTCAACTCAACTGCGCTGTGCGCAGTGCGAGTGCGCGGTGAACGGTGTTTGAATTTGTCGTTCAATTATCAGCCCTTCGAAAGAGGGGTGCCACCAGCCAGCCACCAGCTGCCAGCCGCTAGTTAGCTTTATGCATTTGATGTGTGGGTCAATGTTTTGGTTTCATTTTGTCCAAATTGAAAAATCAGGCACTCAACATTAACATTCAACACTCAGCACAGCACAACAGTGTTTGAATTTGGAGCGGAGGTTCCGGCACCGGGAGGCAGGTTCCCTTCAATTTCAGAGCAAACAAAGTTTGCTCTAGCACTGTGGATCGTCAGCGCCGAATCAGGCTCTGAATGTGGGAAATACCACAGTACAATCCCGAGTTAGAGACACACATTAGATGTGAAGCGACCAGGACCAAAAGAAGGTTGCCACCTGGGTAGAACTGGTGAATTCAAAGTGAAGTTTTGTTGCATTTTATCAAATCACCATATCGAAGTTTCGTTCGCGTTCAGCGTTTGGTTCACTCTTTGAACACTTTGCACTTTGCAACTTTGCACGTGTATGATGTGTGTGACTGTGTGTGTGTGTGTGTCTTTGTGGGTCAACAGTCATGACAACGAAGTCACAAAAGCAAAAGCACAACATGAATCTTGGGTCAAACAATGCTCTTGTCACCAGTCATTCGCCTTTTCATTGGCAACATTTGGCAACCACAACCTGCGACCGTGATGCCGCCGTGACCCAGGTTTTCTTGCGCTCTACGTGCAGGGGTGAGTGCAGTGAATGATGAACACAAAGTGATGAATCAGATTTTGTAGCCGTAGTCTAAGAAGACTGTAGACGTACTTAAAAGAACGATTTGCTTCACAAAGGAACACGGCATACTTTTACTTTTACCGAATCTGGTGTCAGTGATACGGTTGTACGTTCTGTGCGTTATTTGTTCACGCCTGCTGATTTCACTTGGAATTCTAATAGAGAACCAAAGGACTCCCTCCCTGTCAGACAAAGTCTGGCTTTGTTGAACTGTGCAGCACTGTGAGCTGGCAGCTTGAGTACATATATGAGCTGAAAAAATAACCGGCGTGTTAAGTGTTAAGACGGTTGTCCCCGACTCAAGTCATCGCAAATCCAAAAACATTGGCCTCATCTCCTTTTGGTCGAGCAGTGCCGAGCACGTACATGTGTGAGTGTGTCCATACGCATGTAAGCATGTGTGTGAGGGCCTGGTTTGTGAGGCAACTTATTTAGCAAGGAAGTTTGCTACTTACTCAACTATAGTTTTATGCTCCCGATAGAGGCCATGAAGTTGCGGCAAGGGGGCAATTTACAAGACAGGTTTTGGCAGGATACTTATACTTAATACTTTTCCCAACTATTTACCAGGATTTGTCTCACCGTCTTTAAGCAGCTCACAAGGACAGTTGGCAATAGCGGTCTCACAAGTAACTAAAACTGTTTCTGTTTGTATGCGCATGCTCTCACATTAAAGGTATGCTTTAGAGGCTGCGTTGGCCTCTTTGTTTGAGGTACTCTGTTGGGAGCACTACCGGACTGTTTATAGAAAAAACTATATGGTTGGTTTCCAAAATGTTTTTTTCCCAAAATGGTGCACTCATCGCAATTCCATGGGGGCCCGCTTCTAAGTCTCTTTTAGACTCCAACCACACTCAAACCACAGGGATGTTCAATATGAAGGCACGTCAACTGCAAAACCTTTGTGAGAGGTGTCTAGCGCGGACCTGTTCAGGGGCCTGTTGAGCTGCTGGAGCTGTTGTTGTTGTTGCTGCTACTGCTGCTGCTAGACTTCTGCAGTTGTTTCCAATTCTCAGAAGTTTTCAGAACGACATAGGAAGGACGTAAAAGCTGACTCAAACCATTTAGGTGTTGGATGGGCAAATGGTCAAGAAATGGACCGTCGTCTAACGCAGTGCTAGCGCAGATCTAGCGCCAGCCTAGCGCAAAAATCTCCGTCGATTTCTTCATCCTGTCAGGTTCTTAGTTTTCCTGCTTGCTTGTCTTCTTCTTGTTGTGCATTCTTCTTCTTCTCCTTCTTTGTTTTTCCTTTTTCTTGTCTTGATTCTTCTTTTTCCTGCTCTCTGCTTGATTCTTCTTTGCTTATCCTGTCATGAAGAAACCTAACGCCAATCTAGCGCTGCCTTGCTGTATCACCATAGTCTGCTGGGGGCTCGCTTCTAAACAAAGACTTAATCCACATCTCCAACCCTAAAAAGTTTACGTTTATTTTTGTTTTTTGAGTAGGGCTTTTTGAGCGCAGTCCACTGTAACTATAAGACTATTGGTCTCAATCTTCTGCGCGCCGCTCTCCCTACTGTACCTACTGAAACTTCCACCAGAATATTTCCTGGGATGTATACTTCCAAATGATCCGTTGATACATCTTGATGAACCGTTAGCAAAAGTGTCCTCAGAATCTTTGCGTTTTTGGGAGCATGCCCCAAAACAGGTCTCCAAAAACCCCGGCTTTCATTCCGTACTTAGACCAAGTCTCGCCGGAATTAGTATCTTGAGGTTGCCCTTCTGTTTGAGAGTAGTTATGCGAGCGATTCTTGCGCAACTATAGCCTGCCCGCAAGGCTCCGAATCTCTTTCTCACCCAATGTCAAATCGGTCACTCCATTCAGCTCCTGACGGCACGCAGCATGGTCGCCATGATAGGGTGAAACAAACGTGAAGCACGGTGAAACAACAAGACACTGAGAGTTTGCAGCAAGAAGTGCCCGCACGAGTTCCGGTTGTTCTTGGTAACTCCATGCCAGTTGAGGTCGTCCAAAAGCTGTCGTGCAGCATAGTTGCTCAAACGTCAGTCAATGCCGCGTTTAGAGCTTAGGCTTGTTTAGGGCCAAAAGTGTGCGCGTGTACGTGTGCTTTGCCAAACTTGTGCGGCTGCAAGTGTGTGGCTTGTCTTCCAGGTCCTCAAGGGACTCTGCATGGCTGATGAGCAGCAAACCCAAGGTCCGAAGGTAAGCATAGGTTGCGCCTCGCTTTGGCCACGGAACGAACGATAGCAATAGGAGCTTGTTTGAGCTGATGATAGGTGATCCAAACGAGAAAGCTCAACAACTCAAATTTGCGGGTCCAACCATCACCCAACCGATTGAATACCTGAAATATGTAGACACGCCTACATTGAACCTTCGCTTCGAGTTATACATCAAGTTTCGCCTACGTTTACACATCTTTGCAGTTCATAAAGACTGAGAAAGAGACGATTTGCGCGTGGGTCTGTGTCTCTGCAACCCTTGTTGTGCACACAGGTTGGCTGAAACATGCCACCAAACCCAAGCCTCCTTCACTGGATGCGACCGTCGCAAAGCTAATGGGATCAATCGTCATGAAACCTGAGTGGGTCAGATTAATGCTGCTGGATCAGAAATCCCGCTGGCAGCTGTTCTTAATGCACAGAATGGCGCAGTCAGTACCCAAACCTTGACTCAAACTTAGGCTTTCTCCAATTCCCACCATTTCAGGCTTCAGGCACGAGTGGTGGTTTCTGTGACAAGCTGACCGCGGTGATGCCATTTGGCCCACAAAGCCAGCTCAGACCTTGGAATGGAATACCAGCCGTTTCGTTTTCAACAGCCAGACCAAAATTCGCAGGTGGTCTAGGTCCCAACCTTTTCAGGGTGAAATCATATATAGTTACAGTATGACTTTAACTTATACGTATTGCTTCAGCCCCCCTTTCAAGAGATATCGAATAGTCAAGAAGATTGACATCTGTTGAAGCTCGAAGCTTCCCTTCGTCTGGCACATCTTTTCTCCACAGCGATGGCCACTCGAGAGTCAAGCCTCGCACATCACAGGTAGAGGCCCTCAAGTTCCTTAAGGAGCTGTGGCCAGGGAGCAGCCTCACTCTTCTCGAGTGTGATCACGATCTGGCCTTTGCCCATGGTCCAGGAGCAACCATCCACCTCAACAGACTTGAAGAGTTTGAGCGTCAAAGTCTTGGGCTTCAGGATCCGAACTTCCTCCCGGCGAAAGTCGATCTTCACATCCTGCCGCCAAAACAAAATGAGGAGCACTGAGGGCAAATGGTGTGCCCTCCTGCCTATTCTTTCTCGCTTGTATCACAGTTGAAGGCTCATTGTGTTCTCAAACCACTCAGTCGCCCGGGTCTATGTCCTTCTTGGTCGTGCCTTCAGGGACCTCTAGGATCACCTCGAGCTCCTCCTCTTCATCCTTCCAAGTGTATCCATCTCCAGATCCACTGGCCGGATGTTCAGCGCCAGCCTGTGCACGAGCATGCTCTTCAGGCTGTGTTGAGGCTTGGAACTCCAGGTTCTCAGTGATCGCACGCTTCATCCAAAAGGAGCCGAGCTCCATCTCAGGAAGACGGATATCAATGTTCTCCACCAAGCCACCTAACAAAGCAAAGGCTACTGAAGGAAGGCGTCGCATGCACAAATAGAAGCACGTTGTCTACAAAAGAGGACTAACCACACCAAGCGAAGGCTAATTAGCGGCTAATTAATTGATGCAAATTGGATCACAATGCCCGCTCGGGCCGTTGAACCTAGCCACCCTTGAGCCAGCGAAGGCGTCCGATGTAGATATCGCCACGAAATTGGCAGCTGGACGGAAAGCCACAACTTTGAGCAATTGCGCCTAAGTATGTGCAAAATAAAGAAAACACACATGAACATCAAAGCTCAATGTTTGAGTACTTGACGTGCCCGACTTGCCGAAATGGGTGTCGTATTCACAATTCGACGACAGCTGAACTATTCGACGACAGCAGTACATTAACACCCATCTGTGCACACTGTTAATATATAGTCCACACTGCACAATAGCCTTTTGTTCAACATAATGTTCCAGCAGAATATCTAACATATCTAACTCGTATCTCTCATCTATCGTCTAACTCGGATCTCTAATCTTTGGAGGCCAAGATGTCTGATCATCTTTCAGCAAGCCACTGGCTCTCTGATTCAATGGCAGCAGCTTCATCTCTGAAGCTTCATCCAGATAGGCGTAAACAGTTTCCCGCCCGTTGGCTTCGGTGGGCACGGCCAAACGAAAGGACTCAGCCCGTCCCTGTGTCACCAGTTTGCGCAAGACAGAGACGTCCACAGTAGGTTGCCCCTGGATCGCAGCATGCGCTTTTAGTTCGTCGTCCTCAGGCGAAACTGTCAATTCCCCCAATTCCCCTTGGTGAGCCCTAGAGCGATGTTGGGTGAGCATGAAATATGAAAGATGTTGGACAAACACAAGCGACAAAACATATTCAACCTGCCAAAGGTAAAGCGTCAGAGAGCTCGCACCCTGCAAATTTAGAGCCCAAAATGCTGGGCAAAGCATCTCCCTGGGAATGTGGGCCTTCAAGCTCTTCGCAGGAGCTGCTATCATCTGCCGGGATCTTCACCTGAGCGGAGATAGCTAGGCCAAATGGGTTTGGTGGCACTTCATTGCAAACCCATTACACAACCATCCAAGACCCCGGCATTTAGCAGCTGATGTTACAAACTTGTCACACACAGAAGGTCAGAAGTCATCCACTATCACGGCCTGAGAAAACAATTCCAAGAGCTTATATATATACATATCATATGGAATTGGTGGTTGTACCTGCTTGATGGAAACTCGTCCCAAACAGGATTCAAGAGAGGTGAGAGGAATTAATTTTTCCAGGCTGCAAAAATGAAGCTTCGTCCACTAGCGGTCACAGCAGGACCACTTTGCTGTCCCGGTTCTTCGATCCGAACTCCACGCGCACGGAGCCAGGCCATGCGCTCTGCCTTGGTGGCATTCTCCTCCTCGGGCTCTGGCTCCATGAGTCCAACACTCCCGACTCAAAAAGCAAACTCAGCAAACCATTGTGCCATTGTGATCTCAGTGATCAACAATGATATCTCCTGCTCTTGGTGGCTCTTGCCATACAACTCCTTTTGGAAGTCGCAGTGCTGAATGATGGTTCTGTTATGTTTATGTATGACATGTTTTAATGTTTTTGTTTTGTTTTATGACGGGTTGAATGATGCTGGTTCCTGCAGCAGCTTGAACAAGAAAGTGCTTGCAGAAAAACAAAACATTTTCCGACCAAACAGGTGACATCCAGAACCTGTTGCTTGTGAGGCAATGGTTGAGTTGCCCTGCGCAAGGAACAAAAGGGCAAAACTTGATATGGCCTGTGAAATTAAGAGTTGTCCATCTACTCCACTCAGCGTTTCCAAGTCTTGCCTTCATATATCAAGTTCCTTCTATGTATGGTAGAATGTGGTCCTCTGATTAATCAACTCCCCCAGAATAGTGACATTTTTTTCCTGCACTGATTAATAAAGGCCCCCAGAATAATGTTTTTCTTTTTTGGAGGGATAGTTTTTTTGGTGATTTTTTCATTGTTATATATTGTTATATATTGCCAGAGATAGCTAAGTAATGATTCCTTTTATTTTAATACTGCCAGAGTAGCTCCAGAGGTAGCTAGCACATTGTTCTGGAGTCTCAAAAGTTGAGGGGGGGGGGTTGATTAATCAAGGGACCACATTATCGTATTTCCTTGCATGATTGATATATATATACTTTAATCATACTGTTAATATAGTTGAGTCAGTTTTAATCTTGGAAGTAGGAACTAAACCACAAAACCAGCTGAATCTCCATCCCGTCTTCCATGACCATGCATTACGCAGCTGCACAAGAAGCTCGACTCTTTCAGCAATCGTACTCAATTGCAACACGAGGAACAGCCAGTGGACGCCTTCCAGTGGCTCACGACCTGACAAGTGCAACATTTTCTTTCAGTTCTACAGTACATCTTTTGAGGACCACTGGCAACTTTATATAATCAATGTGAATTACACGCTGTGTAACATGCAGTTGAGATGAAACCATACTTACACCATCCGTAGAGGGTGGGCTCAATGAGTTCAAAAGGGCGCCCGGACGCGGCGACTCGTGTCGCCGCCCAATTCGACCGCGCGCCGTTCGATCTTCGATCTTCACTTGCTTTGGCATTTGCAGTTTCCTAGTTTGGCACCTGTGCTGGTGGACTTCGTCTACCACTGGCATTTCTACATTGGTAGCGGAGCCCGAACCCGGTCTGGGTGAGGGCTCCTGCGCACTCTGCTACTTTGACCTCGAGCTGAGCGCCGGGACCAAGGTCTTTGTCCCCTTCTCTTTGTGGGCTCCCTCACAATCCTGTTTGCTGAGTTCTTCGTGGAACACCCTATGGGGAGGATCTTGGCGCCGCCACTCCGGCGCATGTCACAGAAGAAGGGCCAACAACGAGGAAGAGGACAGGCCACCCAACCTGGCTCTAGTTCGATGACATCCAAGGAGGAGAACAACTATGCCGACTTACGGGACTCGTTCGTTCCCATGTTCTCCGGGCAACCCGCCGATTACAAAGAACGGCGGCAACGCTTCCATCTCTACCATCGCAAGATGACCATCTCCAAAAGGGCTCCAGAAAGCATGCTCAACATCATTGGCAGCTTTCGCGGCGCAGTGTGGCGCCTTTTCGAAGATTGGAGTGTTGAGCAGTTGGAGAAGGACGACGCCTTCGAGAAGATGTTGGCTATCCTTGATGGCACCTATGCCTACGACCAGCGAGTACAACTGCCAACTGACTTTTGAAGGCTACTTCAACCTGTTGCAGCGTCAACCGGGCCAGACGCTTCTGATGTACGTCAACGACTATGAGGAGTCGTATCGAAAGCTCCTTCAACACAAGGTCGCCCTTCCTGCTCCCGTCCAAGGATGGCACTTGCTTCGTCGTGCATCGCTCACTAAGGAGCAGAGGCAACTCATCATGCTGAAGGCCCCGTCGTTGGAGAAGCAGGCTGTGATTGAAGCGCTCTACTTGATACTCGGTCAAGACTATGTAAATCTGGAGGATGGAACCATGACAGGAACTAGCGCTTCGGCAAATGGTCTGGACGAGCTTACGCTGCGCATGATGAGTGGGATTGGGAGGAGGAACCATGGCCAGATGACACTGGCTACTATGAAGATGATTGGCCGGTCGACGACTACGAAGAGGAGCCGGCCTTCGATGACGATGCCGTCTACTATGGAGAGGATCCATGGACTGCAGAGGACTCCAACGTACGAGACCAGCCCCGAGCATCTGGAGGAGTTCGACACAGCTTTTGCAAGCTACACTGATGCTCGTAAGCGGTTCAATGATCTCAAGATGTCCCGTGGCTTTCTTCCCGTGGTCGCTTTGGCTGATCAGCAACAGCCTCGCTACACCGGCCTCATCGTCTTCGACTTCATCCACCTGGCGGAAAGGAAAAGGAAAAGGGGGAAAGAATAAGGGCAAGGGGAGCAACACCATTCGGTACCCCACTCAAGGAGCTGGGAAATCAGACCCCAAGGTTCGTGCCAAGGCAGCGATGACTTGCCTACGCTGTGGTCAACAAGGACATTGGGCAGCAAATTGTCCTCAATCTACATCCCCAAAGTCAAGCGGCAACAAAAGACCAGCTCCGACTGAAAGTATGGCCCAGGCCCTCGACAACGGCGCATCTGAGATGACCATGTTGACCTTCCAGGACAGCTCCGGCAATGAAAGGCCAGACTGCGTCATGCTGGATCCTGGTGCCAGTGCTTTTCTATCGGGATATCAACCCTTCCAACGATATCTTCAACATCTACAAGAACGTGGTTTTCCCGTGCACCTGATCCACATGACTCAAGGGCGCCGCCGCTTCCAATTTGGCGGTGAGGCCGCATCGCGGTCCAACTGGTCGGCACATCTTCCAGTGTTCGTTGATGGACGATATGGTACCATCCAGCTTTTCCTGCTGCCCGGCAATACGCCGATGTTGTGTGGGCGACCAATCATCGAGGCTCTTGGCATGACTATGGACTTCGCCATGAAGCGTGTCCGCATTGGCAGTTCTGGCTGGACAGACGCCACAATCGGTCGCCAAGGGGAGTATCTTTTGTCTCTCACCTCCGACCACGACTTCATCCACTACGACCCTGAAAAGCCGGAATTTTCCTTGAAGACAGTGGAACCTGATATGGAACAGACTGACGGTTTCCTCCTTGCCGACTTCGAGCACGCCGAACACGGCTTCGCCAGCCTCGACCAGATCCAAGATGAACCAATAGTGATGGCGCAAGGCAGTTGAAGCGCCACGAGCTCAAGACTATGGATGTGCAGCTGACGACACACCTCAAGGCGATGTCAGCCTATGTGACCAATCAACTCCATCAACCTGAGCAGGCGAAACGGCGAGTTCTCTGGGAAGTCTACTGCGGAGCCGCTCGCACAGCCGAGGCCGAGTCCTTGGGCATGAGCGTGCGAAAGTTTGGCTGGGACACTGGTTGGAACTTTGAGCTCCTTCATCATCAACAAGCTTTTCTTGAACTACAAGATCAAGAGATGCCTGATGAGGTCCTGTTGGCACCAGAATGCAAATTGTGGAGTCGCACGCAGACATTAGCAAGAAGGACTCCAGCTCAGCAAGAGGCTCTCATGGCTGCCAGGCAACACCACCATGACAGGCACCTCAAGTTCAGTCGCAAGGTGTACCTGAAGCAAGTGGATGGCGGTCGACATGCCCACTTGGAGCAGCCGAAGGAAGCCTTGTCTTGGAAGACGCAAGCCTTGCGCTCACTTCCAGGCCGTCGTGCTGACTTCGACCAGCGCCGCTATGGAGCGACTTGCTTGGATGAAGATGGACAATGGCGTCCAGTCCGGAAGCGCACCTCGCTGCTGACCACAAAGCAAGCCGTGCAAGATGCCATGACCCTGCAATGTCAAGGAGACCACCAACACTGTGCTCTTGAGGAGGAACCATGGCCAGATGACACTGGCTACTATGAAGATGATTGGCCAGTCGACGACTACGAAGAGGAGCCGGCCTTCGATGATGACGCCGTCTACTATGGAGAGGATCCATGGACTGCAGAGGACTCCAACGTACGAGACCAGCCCCGAGCATCTGGCGGAGGAGTTCGACACAGCTTTTTTGCAAGCTACACTGATGCTCGTAAACGGTTCAATGATCTCAAGATGTCCCGCGCTTTCTTCCCGTGGTCGCTTGGGCTGATCAGCAACAGCCTCGCTACACCGGCCTCATCGTCTTCGACTTCATCCACCTGGCGGAAAGGAAAAGGAAAAGGGGGAAAGAATAAGGGCAAGGGGAGCCTCACCATTCGGTACCCCACTCAAGGAGCTGGGAAATCAGACCCCAAGGTTCGTGCCAAGGAAGCGATGACTTGCCTACGCTGTGGTCAACAAGGACATTGGGCAGCAAATTGTCCTCAATCTACATCCCCAAAGTCAAGCGGCGCCAAAAGACCAGCTCCGACTGAAAGTATGGCCCAGGCCCTCGACAACGGCGCATCTGAGATGACCATGCTGACCTTCCAGGACAGCTCCGGCAATGAAAGGCCAGTCTGCGTCATGCTGGATCCTGGTGCCAGTGCTTTTCTATCGGGGTATCAACCCTTCCGACGATATCTTCAACATCTACAAGAACGTGGTTTTCCCGTGCACCTGATCCACATGACTCAAGGGCGCCGCCGCTTCCAATTTGGCGGTGATGCCGCATCATGGTCCAACTGGTCGGCACATCTTCCAGTGTTCGTTGATGGACGATATGGTACCATCCAGCTTTTCCTGCTGCCCGGCAATACGCCGATGTTGTGTGGACGACCAATCATCGAGGCTCTTGGCATGACTATGGACTTCGCCATGAAGCGTGTCCGCATTGGCAGTTCTGGTTGGACAGACGCCACAATCGGTCGCCAAGGGGAGTATCTTTTGTCTCTCACCTCCGACCACGACTTCATCCACTACGACCCTGAAAAGCCG